TTTTTAGAATCGGAGTGACGTGTAGAGACCGGAAATCAATGTCTGACGCCATTTTGAAATCCAAGATGGTGGCTTCCAGTTACATAAAAACAGAAAAATAATGTTAAATAACCCCACAATATGGGTATTTTAAGAATTGGAGTGAAGTGTAGCGACCGGAAATCAATGTCTGACGCCATTTTGAAATCCAAGATGGCGGCTTCCGGTAAAAGAAAAGCTTGGAAATTCTGTCATATGCCCCACAATATGTGTTTTTTTTAATTGGAGTGACGTGTAAGCAGTGATGGAAAAGTTCGCAAAAAATCACTATGACTCGCGAACTTTTCCCCATCTTTTCAAAATGGCGTGAGATATTGATTTCCGGTCTCTACACGTCACCCTGATTCCAAAATACCCATATTGTGTGGTATATGACAGAATTTCCAAGTTTTTATGTTACCGGAAGCCGCCATCTTGGAATTCAAAATGGCGTCAGACATCGATTTCCGGTCCCTACACATCACTCCGATTCCAAAAATACCCATATTGTGAGGTATTTGACAGAATTTCCAAGTTATTATGATACCGGAAGCCGCCATCTTGGATTTCAAAATGGCGTCAGACATCGATTTCTGGTCCCTACACGTCACTCCGATTCCAAAAATACCCATATTGTGGGGTATTTGGCAGAATGTCCAAGTTTTTCTGTAACCGGAAGCCGCCATCTTGGATTTCAAAATGGCGTCAGACATTGATTTCCGGTCCCTACACATCACTCCGATTCCAAAAATACCCATATTGTGTTGTATATGGCAGAATGTCCAAGTTTTTCTGTAACCGGAAGCCGCCATCTTGGATTTCAAAATGGCGTCAGACATCGATTTCTGGTCCCTACACGTCACTCCGATTCCAAAAATACCCATATTGTGAGGTATTTGACAGAATTTCCAAGTTATTATGATACCGGAAGCCGCCATCTTGGATTTCAAAATGGCGTCAGACATCGATTTCTGGTCCCTACACGTCACTCCGATTCCAAAAATACCCATATTGTGGGGTATTTGGCAGAATGTCCAAGTTTTTCTGTAACCGGAAGCCACCATCTTGGATTTCAAAATGGCGTCAGATATTGATTTCTGGTCCCTGCACATCACTCCGATTCCAAAAATACCCATATTGTGGGGTATTTGGCAGAATTTCCAAGTTTTTCTGTAACCGGAAGTCGCCATCTTGGATTTCAAAATGGCGTCAGACATCGATATCCGGTCCCTACACGTCACTCCGATTCCAAAAATACCCATATTGTGGAGTATTTGGCAGAATTTCCAAGTTTTTCTGTAACCGGAAGCCGCCATCTTGGATTTTAAAATGGTTTCAGACATCGATTTTGGGTCCATACACGTCACTCCGATTCCAAAAATACCCATATTGTGGAGTATTTGGCAGAATTTCCAAGTTTTTCTGTAACCGGAAGTCGCCATCTTGGATTTCAAAATGGCGTCAGACATCGATTTCTGGTCCCTACACATCACTCCGATTCCAAAAATACCCATATTGTGAGGTATTTGACAGAATTTCCAAGTTATTATGATACCGGAAGCCGCCATCTTGGATTTCAAAATGGCGTCAGACATCGATTTCTGGTCCCTACACGTCACTCCGATTCCAAAAATACCCATATTGTGGGGTATTTGGCAGAATTTCCAAGTTTTTCTGTAACCGGAAGTCGCCATCTTGGATTTCAAAATGGCATCAGATATCGATTTCCGGTCCCTACACGTCACTCCGATTCCAAAAATACCCATATTGTGGAGTATTTGGCAGAATTTCCAAGTTTTTCTGTAACCGGAAGTCGCCATCTTGGATTTCAAAATGGGGTCAGACATCGATTTCTGGTCCCTGCACATCACCCTGATTCCAAAAATACCCATATTGTGGTGTATATGACAGAATTTTCAAGTTTTTCTGTAACCGGAAGCCGCCATCTTGGATTTCAAAATGGAGTCAGACATAGATTTCTGGTCCCTGCACATCACCCTGATTCCAAAAATACCCATATTGTGGGGTATTTGGCAGAATTTCCAAGTTTTTATGCAACCGGAAGTCGCCATCTTGGATTTCAAAATGGCGTCAGACATTGATTTCCGTTCCTTATACGTCACTCCGATTCCAAAAATACACATATTGTGGGCTATTTGACAGAATTTCGAAGTTTTTCTGTAAAAGGAAATCGCCAACTTGAATTTCAAAATGGCGTCAGATATAGATTTCCGTTTCCTATACGTCACTCCGATTCCAAAAATACCCATATTGTGAGATATTTTACAGAATTTCGAAGTTTTTCTGAAACCGGAAGTCGCCATCTGGGATTTCAAAATGGGGTCAGACATCGATTTTCGGTCCCTTCACGTCACTCCGATTCCAAAAATACCCATTTTGTGTTGTATATGGCAGAATGTCCAAGTTTTTCTGTAACCGGAAGCTGCCATCTTGGATTTCAAGATGACGTCAAACATAGAATTCCAGTTCCTACACGTCACCCTGATTCCAAATATACCCATATTGTGGGGTATTGAAAGTATCTTTCAGTTTTTCATGAACCGGATGCCGCCATCTTGGATTTCCAAATGGCGTCAGACATGGGTTTCCGGTTCCTACATCTCACTCCGATTCCAAAGATACCCATAATGTGGGATATTTCATAGTTTTTCCCAGATTCCCATAATCGCAAAAAAAAACTCGTTATTTGGAATTTACTTCGTAAAAAGAAAACTCGTTATTTGGAATTTACTTCGTAAAAAAAACCTCGTTATTTGGGATTTACTTCGTAAAATGAAACCTCGTTATTTGGGATTTACTTCGTAAAAAGAGGGACGTAAATTGAATACTGCGTAAAAAAAGACTTCGTAAACGGAGGTTTCAGTGTACATGCATTTCATACTGCAACTAAATAGTAGTCCAAACATGATTATATTCGTAATTAAAAATAATAAGACGGCGTATGTAAATACAACATATTTTTTCTGTAGTTCTCACGTCTATAAACGCTTGGCATATTAGATTTATATAAGCATATGTGAATCCGCTTGGTATTATAATCAATCATAAGGCAGCTTTATAAAATCCAAACGGAGTGCTATATGCTCATAATGCAGTCTTTTGGCCCCAACAGAGTGTTTTGAATTAGTAAGATGGATTTAGTAAACCTTTTATGAATTTGCATTGTATGTTCTTGGTAAACTTATTTTCCAAGCTTCATAATGCAATCCTTATGAACATCATGCATCCAGTTTTCTGAGTGTATAACAATCATATGCCATTCCAATGGATATCTAGTGGACAATGTAAAATAATTCTCGATGATAGGGCACCAGTTAATATTGTTGTGATTTGGAGCATTTGTTGCAAAGTTTATTTGTTTATAGATTCCATTAATAAAAAAACAAATCAAAGTCAAACGCATAATTGGCAGAAGTAATTTTCCATTGCAGAATTTATATGCTTCATAAATTGATGAAATTGCTATACATATTATCAGAAGCACGTAGTACGAGTACGATATTATACCATGGTAGTCATATTTCCGGGGACGTAACTTATCAAATGTATGCTCTGCCTCTGTTATTTTGTGATCTGTATTTTGTGAAAAGGTCTCAAAGATGATTTTCAAGAGATTAAACTTTTAACTGAGCGATAATATGCAGTAGCTATGCCCCTGAATATGAGACTATTGCTTTGTAAATGGAACTCCCTATTCCAATCCTGAGTTTAATTCTTGCTCCTATCTGAAGGATAATTTTTTAAACTAATGTAGTTTGTTCTCTGGGGTCAATTTGTTTCTAAAATTTAAACTACATTTACCTGAATCAGAACGAATGTGATCTCTACGGGATCGTATACGAGAACAGGTAACTCAGTAGCTACGGTTAATGTGAGCCGGGTTGGCATTCTGATTTGTTTTACACAAATTGCTCTTTCGTTAAGAACTTTCCATTCAGTTGATGAATCTTGGATTTACTTTCAGCAATTGATAAAGTAGGATCAGAATAGGGCCCCTTCTCCAATATTCATTGACGTTTTTTTGAAGAATAAACATTATGTTTTTAATAGAAAATACGGAATTCGTTGAAAAAAAAAAAAATTCTAGCTATATGACTGAAAAAAATTTCATTTTTTATTGAACACCCGTTACGTTGTATCCGCGGGAATATGATCTCGTCTTATTTCACGTTAATTATCCTATGTTAAATTAGACGAGGCATACGGAACCAGTTCCACGTAAAATACCGATTTGCAGGTACGGCCTTATCCAATTTCCTTGAAAATTTATATAATTGATTGTTCTGGATAATCATTCACATTAATTATTATTATTATTTTTTATTATTTGTTCAAATCGAATACTCCATCTTGAAATTTTATTTACAAGATTCAAAATGGCCGAATTTTCACTCAAACTATTGACACACAATTATTCAAATTTTTATGCAAATTAGAGAAGGTCGAGTATGAAATTATATTTTTTTTTTGGCCTAATTATGAAATACTCCATACTGAAAATGAATACATCACAATCCTTTGATTTTTTGTAGTATACCGTAAGGACTCAGAATCTGGACACTCAGTTCACTTTTAAAAATGATTATCACTTCCTACCATGCTCAGAATAGCACGTACATTTTATCATAGTCTTTTAGTATCGTTCTGAATCATCACACATATTTATTATGTTTAAAAGTAGACGTAATAATAAACTAGATGTCTCGATTAATACGCTGTGTAAGGTATTCGGTCATTTACGGTATAGATTATATCAGGGGAATCTGCGAGATCAATTTTGAATGGAAAGTTTACTTCTGCCATCAAAATTCTACAAATATGTAAACTAAGCAAAATACAAACAAAAAATAGACGAAAACAAAACACAACAGAAGAGAAGAAACAGAGGAGAAGAAGAACAATAATAATCGGAAGCACGGGCCTAATCTATACTACATACTGCTCACTGGTAACCGACTAACCTGTGGGACAATACGATGGGATTCGTGTCTGCATGAAGTACAGCGACTGCTGCTTCCGCTTTGATGAATCCCTTGATTTCGTCCAACACGAGCGACCACTCGAGCTGATCCTCGGGTTCATAGCTAAAATCGAAAGCAAAAGGTAAATTATCCAATGGAAATACGATCAATTTTCGCTTCAAGAATGTGTGAAGACTCACGTTGTCGTGTATTCCTGTATTTGTCGCTCTAATTCAATAACTAATTCTCTCACTAGCTTCATCTTTTTCAACAGTAAACAAACAACAATAAATCTAGCGTAGTAACGTAATTTCTTAACCATCAGATCCGGCCGGTCCTCCTTGATTGCCCGGGAGTAGTAAGCACGCCCTCTGATTGCCGAATAAAACGAATATGCTTCATTGAGATAATTTGTTTCACTCGTTCTAAGACTGTGGATGGATCGAAAAAGTATGTGTTTAGCACTCATGTTGAGATTTTTCCACGATCTCCAACTTACTAGTAATGATAATAGAGTTGTCCAATTTTACTAGCTATTTCACCGATTTGCCATCGCTTTAATCCGTACTTAGAATCTAGGACTAGTCTATGTTGCTGCTGAAACTTCCACAGCTTCGTGTACACGTCGAAGGTGCGCCCAAAGTATGCCTGCCACTGCCGATGTCCGTATTGGGGGAGATCGCGCAGCCCGTTGAATAGCTGTTTCGACTTCTCCAACAGGTGGCAGAACTCCAGTACTATTTTCCTATCCTGCTCTTCTGTTGAGGCCATTTTAACCATGCCGTCAGATGTTCATTTGAAAGCTATCTGCAAGTAAAGAAATTAAGGAAACATTAACAATAGCAAAAAAATACGGGAACAACTCTCTGAGACGATGTGCTTTTTTAAAACATTGCGCTTTGTTGAGTGTTTCTATTTATTTATTCATCGTCAATCAAATGTAGCCCAGTTTAAGTTACAAAAAACACTTAACATAAATTTTATTTTATTTTTTAATTTCTGACTAACCTCGAAAATAAACGTTTTTTAATAGCATTTTTGTTCATTGTTAAATCAATTGTTTCATAATGTTTATTTGTTACCGTTTGGGTAGTTTTCCCCTTTATCACCAGCACTGAGCAATGAGAGTGAGTATAGGTATCGGCAATCCATACTGCTATTAAGTATGAACGAGCAAGGCCGACTATTGCTAGCAATATGCTATTGAGTTATCTATAATATTAATCTATTTATTTAACGGTTATGCCGAAAGTTATTGTTTATTTATCTAATGTTCTATGTTGTAAAACTTAATTTATTAAAAACAAAGGAAAATATGTAAAAAAAATAGCAGAACAGATTAAAAATACCACTCCAAAGAAACGGTCAAATTAAAATTATCATAACACAATTTGTTAAACATAAGGTACACTTCCCATACAGACACCACAACCAGGATCGGATCACAGAAGAGGGAAATAAATGAAAAGTATGACGGGTGGAAACAGGGAGTATGGTCAAATAGGAGGTTACTACTGGGTCAGATCGAATGGGCAAGTTCTTTTCCACTTCAGCTCTTCTCGAAGGAGGTTTGGAGCATAGTTCACAGACTAGTATCGATAGATTCACAGACAAGGTCCAAGTGTTCAAACAATTCAAGCCGAAGTGACTTTCCAGTTAAATAATGTGGAAAAAAAAACCTCAGGAACGCGTTAATCAAAGAATCAGGACCCATTGTCCTTAGTTTAAGTCTCCGCTGTTCAGCGTTGAGCCACCGAACGCTTTCTAGACCGTCTGAGTGGTCAACCCCCCCAGAAGGCGTGAAGTTCCTCGCAATCACTGGCGATCAACCGAACGCTGTCTAGACCGTCGGAGCGGTCAACCAAGCGAGCGTCGAGAGACACGAAATCGCGTCATTCCGAAACCAGTATCAGATCATCCGCCCAGCGATCCCCGATCCAGCACGCCAGCCGGCCATTCACACACCCACACACACACACACACACACACACACACACCCTGTTATACGTAAGTAACGTGATATCCTAAATAAATAGTGCCTAAAAGAAGACCAAGTAGAAGGTTATTTGCCCCCTGATCAGCCTCACTATCTCACTCTTTGTCAAGATACGACCTGAGGAAGAGTCGTGAGCTAAGCTAACAAAAGAGGATGGTGGAAAGCCCACCCCGTTGTTCCCCGTGGCTCTAGTTCCTGGCACAGTTTGTTCTTTGGTTGTTAATATAAAACAGATTTCGGTTCTGTGGCATTCACTCTTTGTGCTACAATATCGTTTATAAAAGCTTTCATTGCAAACTGCCTTCGCTTTTCAAGTGCATCCTAATTGATCAACATACATCGAGACTCATAAGAAGGTAAGGGTAAACTCGTCCAGCCTAACTTTCTTAGAGCAAATAATAGAAACTGTTTTTGAACTGATTCAATGCGGTTTATATGAGTATCTTGATATGGAGCCCAGACTATACTACAGTACTCAAGGAGAGGTCTAACATTCATGCTGCTTCTGACAGTACTCACAACCAGAGGGCGAGCAACCTTCAATCGTATAAGCAGGAGAACATCATCTTGAGAATGTATGGCGAAATTAACTTTTAATTAAAAATATCAATAATGGTGCAATTCGTCCGATATATCATGTCTACATAATGTCACTATTATTAAAAAGAACAAAATGTAGAATTTTTCTCAAGCAAGGTTTAAAAAAAATATACCATTTTTCGAAAATCTCCATACAACAAAAGCTGACGACATCTGTTTAGATTGTGGAAACTATTACTCAATTGTATCAAGGACAACTTTCAACCATCGCTGGAGCGTTTTTCTCCGTAAACTGGAGCTCCATTTAACCAGATGTTCGTTCACCTCAATATGGAGCGGAAAAAATCATCTAAAAAATGTATACTCTCCACAATTGGATGCATCCCCTCAAAGTTATTAGGGACTGTTCATAAAACACGTTAACAGTTTAGGGGCAACGAGGCAGCTTGCAAAAGTATACGACTCTGGTGTGACTTTCTACTAAAATCCCTCAAAATTTAACTACGTAGTTTATCGACAACCCCTTAGACATACTGTCACATATTAGTGGGAACTCTGCCCCCTTCATGAGAGGACATTATTTATGAATCGAACAAATCGTTTTTTTTTTTTTGTAGTACAGAATTGAGTGTATTTTTAAAAGCTTTTAAAGCACTTTCACCTCAAATAGCAAATCGGTACGACATGACTCTTTTCGATTTGAATGAAGCTTTGCATGGTATTTACCATTAAAAAAATGTCACTTTTCCAGATGTTTCTTCTTATGTAAAAATTGGACTTATTCAGAACGTGTAAACGGTACATCTGATCAAAATGACTTTTCTTTAGGTTTTTTCTCTCCCTGATTTTTTCTCATTCTCTCCCTCTCATAGTATTATACACAGTTAAAAAAAAGTAATGCAAATTTCTGTCACTATGATGCACATAAATGGAGCATCATATATCAAAGGCGCGCCCCTTTGTCAGTCGAAATTGGATGCCTTAGCAACAAAATTAAACAGTGACCCCGATAATGACCATGCACCAGCACCCTAGTCTTACTAACTTCAAACTAGGGAACAGCGAATAGAAGATTAGAAATCACATAGATGAAAACTACTAACAATTTTTGCCTTGTTTCAACATCATCCTCGGATGACAAAGCCAAGTTTTTCTATTATCAACAAGGCATAAAACATAAAAAGGACTAAGATGTGTTCCTTTGATTACTCAAAAATCCTGTTCCCCTAGTAGTCAGGACTATTAATCGGTGGTAGATCTTACATCCCGTACGTACCACGAAAAGGTGGTCTTCCATATCACGGAGCTATCAAAATGTTATAAAATAATAAAATAATAAAATGCAGGCAAAGCGTCAGTTTTATCCATAGAGTTTTTCCAGTTTTTTATGTCTAATCTTTTTTTTTTTGTTTATTAGAGAGACTTTCCGAGCCTTGGGCTGGTTCGTCTCTTATTTCTAAGTCTTCCAGATATTTTATCAAATAATGTTGACATCGCTGGTCGCATGATAGTTTTGGCATGTTTCTGGTTTATTTGTAGTGTCATAACCCGTATTCACCGGAACATGTTCTGGCCATATTCTGGAACCAGTTGAAAGAATCCAAAAATATCAAATAACGTTCAGAGGTTATATACATACGTAATACACACACATACAAACATTGTCCGATCACGTCGAACTGAGTCAAATGGTATATGATACTCGGCCCTCCGGGCCATTATTTGCAGGTCGGAATTCCCAGTGATGTACAGTGTATCTCAAAATTGATCGTACACCCATACAGAAGACATTTTTTAACATGGTGAATAGACGTATTTTTTAAATCGTTGCTGGTGATTGAACAGATATAATTTTAGTCTTTTTTGGAGGAGCCTGTATGAAGTTATATTTATTTTAGTAAAACGCTCGATTTTCAACTTTTTACCTAGTGGAGGAATTTTAGTAAAAATTAGTGGCAGATGAATGATCTTTATTACGACTTAAAATGAGCAAAATTTCAAGAAGTTATCTACATTTTATTTCAAGACAATAAGGTTTTTCAAGAAAAAGGCGTTTCACTTATATTGCTCTAACTTTTTGTAAACTCAACCAAATATGCCCAATACTGAGCCAATAATTGATAAATTTCAACTGCCAAAAATTCAGAGACGTATCTTTTTAACTGGTGCTTTTAGTGTCGTATTTCTGAAATTTAAGTAGTGCTGTGCGATCAATTTTGAGATACCCTGTATATACCTACCCTTCTTAGTCAAAATTGTTAAAAAATATCCCTCAAATTTAAGAGCCTACGATTCATCGAAACATCTTGGCATTTGAAACCATATTTTCATTACGATTCATTTCTTCCAATCACATCTACATATGTTGGTGATTTCCCAGTCCACCGTATCTATCATTCGTTCGTTTATCGATTGGCCGGAATTTGGCGCGATGAAAGCAGCTTTCGTTTCTAGACCATCTTCAGGCTCAAATTAGAGGAAAACGAATGATTTCGCCACATTCGCCACTGTCATTCTCTATAGAATGGAAGCTGTCGACAATTGGTAACCAATAATAAAAAAGAACCCGACAACGTGCTCTTTCGTCCCCATCAGCCTTCAGCAGTGCTACGAAAATTTTAACAACAACAAACTGATTTGTATCCATTCCTCGTATCATGAGGCTTTGGAACATGTTGCAGTAAAATGAATATTTTAGCAGTTTCCGAGTCATACATGAACATAAAACTGATGACAGATAGATCTTTGAAGGCACACGTTCACTCCTAATAATGGGAAATCCAGTACTTTGTTTTAAAGATAGAGGGCTGGAGGGTAAAAATATGTGACAAGCAAGAGTCCGCATCGTGCTCTCTTGCCGTGCGGATCTATTTGCTTTTTGCTTAAGGAAGTGTTACTACTACCTAAAGCTACAACAAATTTAAACAGCACTTTTCAGTGCTCAACCTGTAAAAAAATTCTACCTTGTTCAACTCTTATTCCTCTTCGATCCTTGTTTGGACCCTACCCGAGGTAATCCTTCTTGGATATCGATTTGGAAAATTCCTCTTCGATCCTTCAGATTCTTATAGTAATCTGCTTGGAAGTCGATTTGGATAAAAATTTACTGCCGCCATGGCGCCTAAACGCAAAAGAAAGGGGCAAACTCTTGACCCCCCTTCTGATGAAATTAATTTGAGTAATCAATTTGATTTGCTCACGGATGATGAGAATGATCCATCATCGAAGAAAAATTCTAGTAAACTTTCCCGGCTTAATGCCAAGAAGGAAA